CTAACAACTTCTATTTGATTGGTTGCTACCATTAAAGCTCATTTTGAGCTTTTGGTGTTTTTAAGACTCATTCCGTTATTGCTGCATGGACTGCACACGCCATTATTTTTGCTTTAGCGCATGCAACTCACGCAATCTTACTGCTTTTATGAAGTTCTATTTTGGGCTAATTAAAAAATATTTAATTCTTAATTGAATCAAATTAAAAATGATATCTTAATTGAGGAAATGCATAAATATTAAGTCTTAAATTGAGCACTTAATTATTTAGTAACTTTCTTCATGAAAGTTTTTGTACCTAGTTAAATGGATTTTAAATGAATTGTTGGATATTTTAGTTGCTCTAATTTTGTGAATTTAAAATTTAACCTTTTTGCCAATAAATCATTTAATGTTGTAAAAACTCATTTAATTAATAAAATTATTTTATTATTTGAATATTCACTAAATGAAATTAATTGATTTTTGAAATTAATTGATTTTTGTTAGACTTATTTTGTTAATATGCTTTTGAAATAGCATATTTATGTTGTAATTAAATTTTAGTATGATAATTTTGTGAATATTTTTATATCACACAAATCATTAATTAAATTGATTAAAGCCCGCTCTGTAAGAATAATCGTTAAGATTTTTGGTTTTTTGAGTAATTTATTTTAGAATAATAATAAGACAAATTTTGTGAAAGTTGCAAATTTATCGAGATCTTAAAATGTGATAAAACCATCTCTGTCAAATTGATTATTACTTTGAGAAATGTTTGGGAAGGAAAGGATTCTTATTGGGATATAATATGATTTAGCTTCCCTGTCAATACCAAGTCTTTTACATTCAACCATTTTTGTATTATTTTTTTATTGTATGTTTTGAGAAATCTTGAATTCTAAAATTAAACTTTCATGGCATGATTTTGTTTCATATGTGTTAGTGTATGCCCTAAAATCAATTGAATTGGATAGAGATATATTGATATTAAGACGTTTCTATTATTTGTTATTCATGTGACAAAAGGTTTTGACATTAGTATACTTGTCAAAGGGTCGAGTTATTTGTTCAAATCCAAAAACTTATTCAAAATTTGAGAAGGTTTGAAAAAGAATTTTAGGATGAGAAACACACTATCAAGGATGAGAAGACTGGTTCAAACTTTCCCCTAATGACAGGTTTGGAGATTTGCATTAATGCTTTAACCATTAGTGCGGCAGACCCTCTTCAACAACTTGCGTCACTACTTCTTACAAGAACATACGTGGGGAACCAACAAGACTGCAACCAGAAAGAATTCAAGCTAACTAATAAATTGAAGCTGAGAAACAGATAACAGTAGCTCCATTTTTAGTTGTGTGGTCGATTCTAGTGTCAGAAAATGGTATATGGGAAGATTATACAATGTTGACCTTAGTGTATGTTTGGATTGAGGAAAGGTCATGGAAAGGAAAGGATAGGAAACAAAAGGAAATGGAAAATCTTTTTCTTTGTTTGTATATAACATAAATTAAAATAAAGGAAAGGAAGGGTGCTTAGCTCTCCTTGATTTCCTTCAAATTCTTTCATTTTTTAATTACCCCAAATTGAGGGAAAAGAAAAGGAAAAGAATAAAATTTTTAAAATATAAAATGACTATTATATTATTATTAATTTCTCTAAATTTTAAAGTGTATGATTTTAAACTCTAAAATTAGATCAAAAATACAAAATATTATTTATCAGTGAATAGACTCTCCTCAATTTTTTTTTCACTTAATATTTCATAAATTTTATTAATGACTATTTTTATGAATGAATAAGGAAAAATTGAAGATATGGAATACATCAATAGGTATAAATTACCATGATCATAACTTTCACTTTGGATTTTAAAATCCTAGCAACAAGTAAAGTTTTTTCAATTTGCTTTAGAAAAATGGGAATGTTACTATAATTGAATAATGATATAATTTAAGGAAAAAAAACTTAATGCATTATTTTTTAAAAAATTAATGAAAACAATACATCATATTATTTAAATAATATTTTTATTATCTTTAATTAATATTTATAAATACTTATTAATCAAATTTCTAAAAATTAAAACAATCCGAAAGTTAATAATTTTATCATTTTACATTATTTACAGTTATATTCCAACCAAAAAAAATTTAATTTGATACTATATGTTATTTAATAAAAAAAGGTTATAATTAAAAAAAATAATGAATTATATTATTTTTTTATTATTTAACCAAACAGTGGTTATTAAAATTTTTTTTATTAATTTTAATTATCTAAATAAGGGATATATATATATATATATTATTTTCCTTTACTAATATTTATACAAACATAATGTTAATGTTTTTATCATTTGATCTTTGGGGACAAGGATCTTTTGAAGGGGCAGGTAATGTGATGAATTGGGCAAGGAAAGAAAACAGCAGGATGATCAAGAAGAAATATGATTATTAGAGGGAGTCGAAAGCTAAATTGAGGGAGGAAGCTGAGCTGAATCTGAAACTGAAGCTGAAAGCTAAGCTAAGAAAAGAGAGAGCTGAGCTAAGTACAGAAGGAATCGAATTGAAAGCTGAGAGCTGACACAGCTGGACCTGATTATGAGGATCCGTCGGTGCTAACTTGGCAGTTGATTATTACTTCTTTTTGCATAAGATTTGTATTGCTAGCTACCAGACATCATGTTATGGCAGTTGTCATTTGTTTTTTTTTTTTTGTCATTTTAGCAATATCTGGTAAATTCTGTTAGCTGAATTTATAGCACATGTGGTGCATATATATCAACAAGGTTGTAACGAGATAGTTATGAATGAAAATTTGCAATTTCCTGCTTCTTACTCTCTTTTCTTTCCCTGGTCTATTTCTTTCTTCTGCAATTTCATTTTCTGTTCAACCAAACACTATCGTTCTATTACAGTCGGGACTGGCCATGTATAAGAGTGATGTAATGACTAGGGAAGGCAAAAATACCCAAAATCAACAGTTTCGATCTGACCCAACCTTTTTTTTTTGAAAATCTGGTATAGAGTCGATAGAGTTGGGTGGCATAAAAAAATTTTGGGTTTAGATCGGGATCGGATTTTAGGTAAACCCGATTCGATATATATAAAAAAATTATTTTTTTATTATTTATTTAATTTTATATATTTTTATATATATTTAATTTTATATTTATATTAAACATAATATTTTATTAATTTCAAGTCGGATCGGTTTCAATTTTATACAATACCTGATCGGATCGAATTCGAATATTAAAAATAAAAAAAATTTATCTAATCAAGGTACGAATACGAGTTTTATATGTTTAAAATTGAGTCGGATTCGGAGTAAACAAAAATTCATCCCGCCCCGATCCATTATCGTCACTAGTAATGACGCTATTAGGGATCGGTCCTTTTTGAGACATTTCATAAAAGAGTTTCATTGCTTCATCTAACCTCTTAATTAGTTTTACAATATTTGCACAACCCTTGTTAATCATCAACTCAAATACTCTTCAAACAATTACGTGTGATTACATAGAGAAACAACGATGGCATAATGTTTCATTCTGACAATTGCTCCTAATTTTTTTAATCCTTAATTTTTTTGTGTAAATTATATAAAAAATTTAATTTTTTAATGAAATTAATGATTTTCATAATTTTATATAAAAAAATTAAAAATATATATCAAACATTTTTTAAAATATAAAAGAATAAGAATATTAAGTGTTCAAAAAAAGAAAGAATATATAAGTTTTTTTTAGGACCTCAAATAAATTGAAAGATGAACAAGTAAAATTGGATAAAAATAGTAATTTAAAAAAATTATTTATTAATTTTTTTGAAGTAATGTATTTATTAAAATTTTTTATTAATAAAGTAAAAAAATATTAGAGCTAATAAGGTTGACTCAAAACCAAAAAAACTCATTCAAGCTAAACTAAAATTGATCCAAAATTAAATCAATCCAAACCGATTTTTAATTGAAATATAAGATGATTTGAATTTAAAATAAATATAATTTTACTCTTGTCTTTTAAATATTAATTTAATAAAAATAATATATCTAACATAAACTATTCGTTTATGAGTAATTTAGAAAGACATTTAAGAGTTAAAAAAATCTTTTAGAATTGTATTCAAATATGGAGGCTCAGGATTGTGACCACTCTTTTGTAAGAGTTTACTGATAGTTAAAATCTTTATAGTTTTTACCATATTAATATTAAATTCAACAAAATCAATAAATTTTACGTCACAAAAATTACAATTTGACCCCGAATAGATTTCTTTAACTAATAAAGAAAAAAAAGACAAGCACGTAAAATTCATATAAACACGAATGAGATTTATAAATTCAATAAAAATTTATATTGAAGAATTTAAATATAATTTCTCTAATTAATATTACAAAATTAGAAAGAGTGAATCACATTATATTGTCATGATATAAAAATATAAAATAAATAATAAATAATAAATTTAATAATTAGAAAAAATAAATAATATAAAAATATAAAAACAATATAATTAAAAATTTTAATAAAAATATTATATATATTTAAAAATATATATTTTATATTTTATTTGATAATAAGATGAATTTCATATTTTCCATGCATTCCAACCAATAAGACATTATTTGCAAAAAGGCTAATACCCCATTTGATTTTTAAATTATTATAATTTTTTTAATATGATATTTAAATGAAAATTTTTTTAATTAAGTATCTAAACTTTAACTTCATGTATTAAATTATCTTAATCTCTTAACACTATTAGAATAATGTTGACGTCATATTTAATTGATTGCCATGTAATATTAATGTAATTATCATATATTATTTTTAAAAATGAAAAAATAATAAAATTTTTTTTAAAAAAATTATATTTTAAAATCTTTTTATTTTTTTTAAAAATAAGACGTGATAACTACGTATAAATTACATGATAATCACGTGTCAATTACTTCAGTATTTCATATTAATATTATTTTAATGATATTAGAAACTGAGATAACTTAATACAAGAAAATATAATATAGGTACATGATTAAAATATATTTTTATTTAGATACTATATTAAAAAATATAATAAATCAGGGCTAAACGGGTATTATTCCCCTTTGCAAAATCTACCGATGGCAAGATGTGGGTAAAATCAAAAAGCAAAGTCCGATGAGATTAAAAGGCACTAACAAGAACAGTTAGAGAAAGCTCAGCTTTCCCAGCAAAACAATGGCCTTTCTTCTCTCGATTCAACACACTCCTAAAATGACCTTACAGCCCTTTGCTGTTCTTAACAGACCTCAGAAAATGAGAGTTCCATATGAGCTGAAACAAGGACAGTCGCGTATTTTGCATCAGCTTCCCTCTGGTCTGAACATGGAGGTTATCGTGCAGAAGAGTAGTGTGAAAGAAAAAAACCCAGACGAGAAAAAGGCCCCACCTTTGGTTTTTGTTCATGGAAGTTACCATGCAGCTTGGTGTTGGGCTGAACATTGGTTGCCTTTCTTTTCTAATTCTGGCTTTGATTGCTATGCTCTTAGCTTGCTTGGTCAGGTTTTAATCATTTTCTCTTTCCCACACCTTAAGATTCTCCTTTTTCCTTTCTTTTTGAAGCTCAATTTGGAGTTATAATTTCGTTTTTTTTTTTTTTTCATTTCTTAAATCATTTTATGTTAAATACTTGGTTGGTTGTTCTTTTAATCTGCAAATGTTTAAGGAATAAAATTTTGCTCCAAAAATTGTTACTGCTGGGAACTTGAAAAAGGAAACATATTTTGCTGACTTATCTGAGTAAATCATAGTGAATATGGCCGAAAAAAAGAAAAGAAAGGATGCGGTACACAAAGTTATTTTGTTTGTTTAAGCAACAAGAGGTTCTTGGGGTTTGCCTGGTACATCTCCTTCCTGGGTTGATCCAATCAGGCTTATCTACGCCTAGCCTAGCGAATTCATAGGAAATTAGCTTCCCACAGCCTTATAGTGTATTTGAATCTAGAAAACGAAGAGAAGAGCACACTCTCTTTGCACTTGATCTAACCATCCCTTGGTGTGAAAATTGTTTAGCATTCTTGAGATGGTGTTAGTTTATCATGTTATTTCTTCACAATGAAGATTCAAAATAAAGTCAATAGCCACACATATCTCTTTGTCTCTTGGAATTGAGTCATTGATTTCACCCTATCTCCTTGAAGCATGAATGTGAATAGAGTTTGAAAGCAGTTACCGACTTAGATTTAGCAATTCACTGAGATTGAGTTGATGGGAAAAGGAAAGCGTTTGTTTTGACTATTTCATATCATAAAGACAGTCTTGGCTATACACTTGCAAAGTTGAAAATTTTTGTTTCCATATGAGCGCCTTAAATTCCTTTGTGATGTTTGTACTTTGTTCAGATATCAATCGTGTTAAGTTTTTTGTTTGGTATATAAAAGTTTAAAATGAGCGAGGCTTCCCCAATCCATGGCTAGGCAAACCGCAGACCTCAGAGGATTTACATTGGATTTACATATCCCCACGAAGGGGATTGCTGGCAGTGGGAATTGAACTTAGGCTTGACAAGCGAAGTATTTTATCTTTACCTATTCAATCAACCCCATTGGCTAATGCGTGTTAAGTTTACATCAATTAGAGATTGGTCAAGCACTTACATCCTAATGCACATGTATATATGTTTTGCCTCATTTGTAAAGCTTGAAATCATAACCACCATAGAGCTTCATTTTACATTTTAGGATAATAGTAATTGCTAGTACATGTATCTCCATCACACTATCGATGAGATGAAAACCAATTTCGTGAAATCTCATACAAGATCTTTTTCTTTTTTCCTTAAAAAACTTTAGCCGGTTCACATATGCTAAGAGGAATAAAATGTAAGTATTTAACTACATGAACTGAATAGTTGAGGACCTAAAATTTTCATTAAGAGATTGGCTTTGCAAAAATAGTATACCATAGCATTTTCTAAGCTACATGTATGAAAGAAAAAAACAGTATAGTTAATATCTCTATGCTTTCAGTCAAATCAACTCTTTTTCAATAATTCTTATCACAGAATGGTACGCCAAATTGAGTTGGTGATTCCTTTTCCCATTTACTATTGGAAAGTAATTTTTTTCTAGGCCACTGACTGACAATTTTCTTGCATTATATTTAAATACTGGCATATTTCTGAAATTTCATTTGCATGAAACTTTTTCTTTGAAAATGTTGTACTGATTTCAATACTGTTGCTGAGTAAGGGCAGGGTGAAAGTGATGCACCTTCTGGAACTGTTGCTGGTTCTCTTCAGGTAATTGGCGTTTTCCAGAAACTAGTTCCTTGACAAGATATGCTTTTCTTTCACTCTTTGAAAAACTATTGATTATATAAAAAAATTCCTTGTCTAATTTGCCATTCACTCATAATCTGTAGACACATGCAGGTGATGTTGCTGATTTCATCCAGAGAAACCTGGACCTGGCACCAGTCTTACTTGGACATTCATTTGGAGGCCTTATTATCCAGTATTACATTGCAAATATGAGAAATGAACCACATTCAGGTAAATGTCTAGATGGCTGGATCATACTGGTTGAGAAAGTGAAAAGTAATAGATCAACAAGGCATAAGCAAAATTTTACTGATTGTATGGTAATAATTACAAGCTCTCAAAAAATTGATCCCAATGGATTCATGTCCTAAACATACAAGAATAATCAATTACTATTGCTTTCATAGTTGACAAACTTTTACCATATCTCAGCTTTGCTTTAGAAATGTTTTGATTAGCTATAAGTCATATCTGAAATCTAGTATTTGTCACAAGGCACATTGTATGCACCTGATTTAAGATCTGAACCAATACATGAATTTCCAATTTCAACTGGGCCTTCTGATGTGTGCCTTAGACCTAAAAGCCCTCCTTCATTTCATCAAACTTATCTTGATTGATTTGGTGGTTTTAAAAAACATTTCTTATACTGACTTTCTACTTATGCTGATTGAAAATTTCCAGATATGGAAACTTTGTACCCCAAACTTAGAGGTGCTGTGTTAGTCTGTTCTGTTCCTCCTTCGGGTAATCGGTAACTGCCCATGCAATCTAACTTACTCTTCTTTTCATTAAAGTAACTTTCCAGGGCTGACATTCGTAATTTTATTTAGTGGCTTAGTGTGGCGGTATCTCATTTCCAAACCTGTTGCTGCTTTTAAGGTAAGCTTTCAGATTTTTAGATGCTAACCTGTAAACATGCCCCCACTCTCTCTCTTTGTTGCCTCATTCATGCTTAGCGTATGGATATAAATGGACTTTGATTAATTGGATGTTACTCCTTGAAATATGCTTCAAACATCTAGAGAAATGTGTTGTCTCAAATTTTTACTTCAAGATTATAGAGGCTACAATTTGTCACTGTGTCAATCACAGATTACTTAGAGATTCTGTCTCTTCATTTTGAGGACCCTCTTTTCGCTTCATCAGAATAGATTCTTGAAATACACCCTTTTTTGATTATGTGGAAATGGTGATAAGTTTTTCATGATATCTTACACTTTTTTTTTTGTTCTTTTGCTTAACTTTCATAAAAAGTATACAAAACAAACCTTCAAATTTTGACAAGAGATTTGTTCAATCCTCTGAGCAGGTGACACGCAGCCTAGCTGCTAAAGCTTTTCAAACTTCGCTCTCCCTTTGCAGGGAGACCTTTTTCTCTGCTATAATGGAGGATAACCTAGTGCTACGGTTTGTTCGTGAGCCTACTATTCACATATGTTAACATTCATTTCTTTCTTTTGTTTGGAATTATTGATGATAAGAAATAATATGATATATTCAATTGTGAACTTGCACTTGTTCTGTGCATATTTAATAAAATCTCGTTGAAAATTGATATTGAAATGAACTGTCAATAATGCTTAGTCAAGTCATACTACCTAAGAATAAATATTTGTAGTTTCTGGAGAAGACTATGCAGAAAGATGTTAGAACCTCAAAGATATCAACTTAATCACTTGAAAGTGTGTTTATTTAAAAGATGTTCTGAAGGTAAATTAATGCAACAAATTGAGATCATTTATTCGGTTTGGTAGCTGGATATTTGTTTTCTGCATTTGCAGATTCTAAATAAGATGTTTCAATAGGCAACAATTTTGTGAAGTTAATAACTAAAGAAAATCTACGCATATTTCAAATTAATTTTACTCATGGATGTCATACAAATGAAACTCTTATTTTAGTATCTCATAATGATAAGACAGCAAGGCAGATAGATTTTCTCATGAATTGTTTGGCAAGTTTGAAAAAAAAAAGTCATAATCTAGGAGCTTACGACTCCTCTTCTATGCTAACGGAATTGTGTCTTGATGGAGTTCTTAACTGAAAAATTGAGGAGCTTGTTCATGTCATATATACTATCCCCAGATTTCATTCTTCTATCTATAAGCTACAAGACATAATGAAGTTGCTTATTCGTTTTACAGCCTATCCCTCATATTGTTTTCATTCTGCATGCCTATTCCTATGTACCAAAAACCGTGTCTTGCAAGTCAAATTTAGTTCCCAAAACTGTTTCTTTTATTATCATAGTAGACTGTAGACTTAGCCTTTTGAGTTATTTTTCCTTTTTCAGTTATCAGGAGCTAATGAAAGAAAGCTCAAGGATGCCATTGTTCGATCTAAGGAAGTTGAATGCATCACTTCCAGTGCCTAAAATGACTAACTGTTCTACTGAAATTCTTGTGTTGGGAGCAAAAGATGACTTCATAGTGGTAATTCCTATCTTCAACCTTAATTTATGCACATCCGACTTTGCATTCTGCTTTCTCATGCCAAAGGCTCCAAACATATGAGAATAATGTCCTATAAGAAAAGTTGCATGCCTGAGATTATTGGTTTTAGACAGTTTTTATCTTTTTAAGACCCTTTCCCCCTGTTTATAGATAAATATATAAATGTAGGATGCCAAAGGACTTAGAGAGATAGGCAGTTTTTATGATGTGTCACCAATCTGTATCGAAGGAGTTGCCCACGACATGATGTTGGACTGTTCATGGGACAAAGGTGCTAATGTTATACAATCATGGCTAAATGGTTTGAGCAGATAGTGACTATGGAGGGAATTATAGAGGCTTTTCATTTTCTCACGGCCAACGGGTATGAATAACTTTGTCAGCTTGTTTTTCCTGTTTTTGTGAGGCAATGATAATTCTAGATTTAACTCTATTTTTGCTACTATGATAGTGTTGGAATTTGAAGTTTGCAGTTTTTGGTTATTTTGTTTTCGCTGGACATCCATAACTCAATTGAAATCTTTGACCCTGAGAGCCTGGGATAATTGATTTTGTTTTTTTTTTTTTTTGTTTTTTTGTATAAAGAAGGTCACAACTTAGGGATAAAGAAAAGAATTGTAGGTGTTGAAATTTAAATCTCAAATCTATTAAATATTACCTCAAGAGGTGATTGCATAAGCTAATCGAACTAAGTTATGGATTCGGCATAATTGATTTCATAAAGAAAAAGAATGAGAAGGGGGTAAAAGAAGTGAAGTGAAAGTTAAATTTGACTGTTGAATGAGAATTGAAATGAATAAAAGGAAACTGATCATTAGTGAGATGATCTTCAATTCTCTTAAATTCAGAGTTTAGAGAGGAAACAATGCTAGCTGTTTTAATTTCAGTGACATTTCATGAGTTATCTTCAATTCTTTAACTAAAAGGATATTATTTTCTAATTTTATTGGATGAGAATGGAATATTTGATAACATCAAATTCAAGATTTTGTTCCAAAAGCTTTCTAAATTGTATGCAAATGGATTAAGGTGCATCATTTAACTTTCTGAGTCAGAAAATGCTAACTTTGTTCATATCAAGTAAGGGTAAAAAAAAAATTTATGATGTTAATAATACAAAAGTAAATACAACATTTACATATAAAAATCAATTAAATAAATAGATAAATAAATCAATGAAAAATAACATATAATAAGATAAATTCAATTTAAAATTTAATTTAATTTAATTTAATTTAATTCAATATTTTATTTTTTCATAACGACTATTAAGGCCTTTTGGCTTAATTAAAGGTTTTTGTAGAAAATGTTATTTAGTTAATTTTTAATATGTTGTAAGATGAAATTAAGATGAAATTAAGATGAAGTGTGACTAATTTAATGCTGATATGATATATAATAGAAAAAATTGTTTCATAATATATTATTTAATAAATAAAAAAGATAAAAGGCATAATTTTTTAAAACTAAACATAAGTTTTTATGTAAAAAACTTGAGGTATCCCTTGGTATTAGAGCCTATCAATCTTTTTAAGCCTATCAACCTTTTTGAGGTATATAAAACTATTTACTAAACTATTACTAGAGCGGTGGAATTGGATAATCAAAAACTTCTTTCTCATGGATATGTTAAACTATTCTAAGTCACTTTTAACCTTTAGACCTTTCTTTTCTTTACCTTCTCTTGTACTTAAAAAATCTTCTTCTTTTAAGTTAAATTTTTTTAATTAGATTAATTATGCTTCAAAAAACAAAAAATCCAAAAAACAAACTTTTTTTTGTAAATATCTACAATGCTGTTTCTAGAACTTCTTTTTTAGTTAAGCTCATAAAAAATCCTTGTCAAGCAAAAATCTCAATCTTTAAAAGAATATGTTCAAGCTTTTAAGTTTGATCAGTGCATTTTCTAGCAGAATCTCAAGAGCATTTTGTTACTCTTCAAATTCTTTTAGAATTTTCAAAGTAGTGAATAGATCAGGGATACACCCACATCCACTTTGGTGTTATCAGAATAGCATTAAGTTTTTGTGGGCAAAATTGTATTTTTGTTTGTATTAGGATAACTTTACTGGATACAAAGTTTAAAGACTATAAGCATGCGGTACTTGGCATAGTTAAATGACTCTCAATGCGAAAGCTATTTTCTTTACAGTAGTTTTCAACTGCAATATGTCTTTACATGATTCAACTTTTTTAAATGCTCTAAAAGTTCAAATTCATATTTTAAGAACAGAGATGAAAGGATGCTAGGTAACATTTCACTATCATATGGCATACAGAATCCAAGATCACGTCATAAACCTGTCTTTGCCTAACTCTGGTGAATCAATCTTTGTTAAGTTAGAAGCTACTGACAAGATTTTAGATGCATCCATATCTCAAAATAGATTTCAAATGGAGAACTTGCTGCCTTACTTTCTTAGTCATAGATAACATGTTATCAAAAGGCTTGGAACCAAGATGACCTTATCCAACACTTTGATATTTCCTACATCATAAACCTAGATGGCATTATAACAATCAAATTTGACCACAACAAGGAAAATGAACTTCTTACTCCAGTGTCTGTCTTCGTAGACAATTCATGATGCAATCATGTCAACCAAAACCCAATGTACTAATTAAATACTTTAAGTTTGATTGATTTTCTGAATATGCATACAAATCTCCAAAAAGATATTGTTGTTGGGACATTGATTGCAATTGTAAAGGATACTAGAAGGACAAAAATAAAAGTCTTTTTTATTATGATGATTCTTAAAAGAAACCAAGATAGAAATCTTTTCAGCAAAAATTGAAAGAAATATTTGAGAGTGGAGACCTTGAAATAGATTTCATTGGTGAACTTTTGGGAAAATGGATAAATAGATTTAAAGAAAAGCAACCATTTTACATCTCTATCTCATACCTATCTCTCTTCGGTATTATTAAAAAATGGATAAATAAATTTAGAGAAAAGCAACCTATTGAACAAAAACCTAAAAGAATAATAAAATACCCATTTTTATAACCCCAAAGCCAAAAACAACCACTACTCCAATTGCTACCTCATCTGCCTAACTCCTAACTATATTTTTGAAACCACAGCAGGCGCTTCTTTTAAACCTCCGTCCTAGCTTATGATTTTTCACACTCTAAATACTTTTTCCACCTTACTCTAAAGAATGGCACAGGAAAATCTTTTTCAGGTTTCAGTTTAAAATATTTTTCCTATTATAAATGAATAAGATTATTTTATTGTAGACCCTGACGAAGTATTTTCTGATGATAATATTGAAACATTCCCATAGATTTTCCTTACAGAACTAACAGTTTAACTCTCAAATGACAATCCAGAAGTTCATAACCTAGATCCTATGGATAATGACCAACAACTTTCTCTTCTTTTTACTCAATCTTATAATTCCTCATCTTCATCTAAATTCTCAATCTTCATAATTGATGACGTTTCTCTATCCAGATTACTTGTAAGATTTCAAGAATTTCATTGCATGGGGACTAGTTGAATTGAATTCCAATCCTAATATCACAATGTAGATGGTTTTAATCCATTTGGTTTCAAGATTGGTCTGAACCTTTAAGAATTTTTAGGATAATATTGGTGAATACAGAGAGTTATAATTTCTCTAATATTCTATAATTACAAAAGTTTTATCTTAGTTCTTAGCCATATTTTGTAGCTAAAAAGCTCATCAAATGGGTAACATCAAAAAGTAATTTTTTAAGTTAAAATGTTGTTCGTTTCATTTAAAAGCTCTTAACAAACACTATCAATAGTTTTCTCAATATTTCTATCTCTTTGGTAGATTCGATGATGTTAATATGAAGCAAACTTTCTTCAACTCATTTCATAAGCACTTGCCCAAAAGATAAGGAGTTAACTCAATCTTAGATCTTTTGATTTGAGAAGCAGGAACTTTGGAGACATTTATAAGGTTATGGTAAAAGCCGTTGATATGATTTGCAAGGAGCACAATTAAATTTCAGACTTGTTGAACAACTTTAGAAAAATGAATAGATTATGTGCGTACTCATTAGTTGGCTTATAGATCAAATATTCTTTAAAAGAGTCCTCATGTTTTTGTCATCAAAAGGAAAAAAAATATTTTAGAAAGTTAAATTTGTCCAGAGAGCTCAAAAGTTGCCATTTTACCATATATAAAAAATTATCCAGAAAGCTTAAAAGATTTCAAAAATTCAAGTTTGACAAGATGAAAAGAGACCCAAAGAAAAAATTTAACAGAGGTTTTTTATGTGAAAAATCAAGTCATTTTGCACATTACCCTAAGTTTGACAAGAAGCCTATTTAGATATAAGATATTACTAATATTTAGATATAAGATATTTTAATATCTCGAATGATGACTTCAAATCAATATACTCTCTTAATGATGAACAGACTCTTTAATCACTGTTTATTATCAAGTAATATGTTGATGATAGTTCACACACAGAGTAGGATGACTACTAAGAAATGAATGATAATGATCAATACTTTGAGTATATGTCAATCTAAGCACTTCAGAAAATCCAAATCATTTAGCCTACAAAAGCACTTTTAGCCCCAGTTTAGATTTTCATTTATAAACACTAACCTTTCATTAAAGTTACTGTTTTTTATGACATTGGTGTAGCTCAAACCATAGCCAACATTATTCTCTTACCTAATTCTCTTTGGAAAAGATAAAAAATTTTCTTCAAAATTACTGATGGAAATATATATATATTTTTACAAATTTTATCATCAACTTTGTTACCATTCAGATTTTCCAATGATATGAAATTACTTAAAGGATTTTAGGATTACAACTTCCACAGAAAGATCTAGTTATTAATTTTGACATTATTACTAGTATATCAGGTTTAAAGATCAATAGAAAAGGTATTTAATTCAAAAGTTCTTTCCAGTGTTGGAAATACGTCTTTAACCTTTTTACCATGATAGTCCAAATAGATATTTTTCAAGAAATCCAACAAAAGTTAGTCCTAAACTTTTGTGCAACACCCACTTAGAATTTTTGCAAAAAAAGTACAAACTTTTGTGGTAAAACCTTGACTTTTTTTCACCCTTCTTTTTTAAAAAATGAGAATGAGAATATCAATCCCACAAAAACTAGTCATTCAAGCATGAATCTAGATCATCTTAAGTTAGCTAGTAAAGAATGTTCTCAGCTTCAAGATCAAGGTTTAATTGAATCCATTTTTTCACCATGGGCATATGAAGCATTTTATGTCAGCAAAATATTAGAACAAGTTTAAAGAAAATTAAGATTGGTTATTAAGTACAAGCCTCATAATCTTTTCCTTGCAGATGATAAGTTTTTTTTGTCTAACAAGAAAATGTTGATTGCAAACTTGTTGCAGGTAAAAGTTTTATTAAAGTTTGATCTAAAAATGGAATTTTGGCAACATTGTATTCATCCATAGGAAAGATATGAAATAGCTTTTGCATCCTTTAATATTAAGTGAACAGTAATGCCTTTTGGCTTGAAAGTAGCTCTGTCATTGTTTCAGAAAGTGATAAAAATCTTTGCTCCAATTCTTAAGAATACCTTCATATACATTGATGACATCCTTTTATTTTCTCTAGATGTGATAATTCATGCATAGTTTTTTGATAAGTTTCAAACAATTGTACAATAGTATGGAATAATGTTGTAAAAAAAGAAAATGATAATTAGTGTCATAGAGATTAATTTGTTTGGAATTCATTTGAAATATGGATTAAACATTGCATAGTCCCACGTTGATTAAACACATGAAGATTTTCCTAATGATAATTTTTCGAAAAGACAAGTCCAACAGTTCTTTGAAATAGTGAATTACATGAGTGAATCTTCCCCAGCTCTTGTTTAAATAACTCACCCTCTCTAACAAATGTTAAAAAAAAAGCCTCATCCTTAAAGATAAAACAGTCAATAAAGTTGGTCAAAGTCAAATAAAAGTTTATTTCAACTTTAAAAATTCTTTTTGATGGAAAAAGAATTTAACAGACTAATGCAAGTGATAAGTTTTGGTCCACAATTCTCCTTGAAGAAAATGATGTAAAAAGATAAATATTTGGATACAAAAGAAAAAAATTTAAAAATTTAAAAATTCAAAAATTCACTATCACTATACTCTCTAAGATTTTA